CAACACACACACACCACACACACCACACACACACACACACACACACACACACACACACACACACACACACACACACACACACACACACACACACACACACACACACACACACACACACACACACAGAGTGCTCGTTAAGGTTCCCTGCAACACACCGGTACAATCACAACATGGAATACAAAAACAACATTTTCCAAAAAACATTTCACATGGTAAATAGTAGCAAGAATACAAAAAACAGTTCATACATAATGTTGCTTTTGTAAGAAAATGGACACTCACACATCAGTATGTATAGGCTGAGACAGGAAGTGTATGACCAAAGTTGGATATTTTCAGTACAAAGAGGTCGAACACGACGGACGTCTGCAGGAATATGAGCATTATATTAGTGTGAAATATAAAGGAATGAAGGGTAACAGTGGTATTATTATTTTTGTAATGGTTTTCTTCAGCTGCTTTGCTAGTCTACATACCTTTGAGATTGGGCGCTGTTTCACTGTTGTTTTGATACATCCAAATTTAGGGCAGGACAATTATCTTAAAACTCTGGCCACTTCATAAACTTTATTAAAAGTTTACTTAAACTAGGGCTGTACTGAATAGTTTCCCAAAACTTAATTTGTAAAGTTACATTAACATTCAAATGCTGCACAGCTTTCTTTTTTGCATTTGTAGTGCACCTGTATTATCTAACAGCACCATGAATTACAATTATAGAACCACGATATAAAAAAGAGATAACAGGATTATATTTTGGGGGATTTATTGAAGTGCTCCATCAAGAATACTTTTTTTTGTTCAGGGTGGTACCTTCATAAAATATGATATTGACTTTTGAAGCTTCATTGGAAAACCTCAACAGAAGCTGCCAATGTAAAAAACCTACATTTGGTACAGCCCTAACTAAAACCCGAAGAGAGTCACTGGCCTGAAAGAGTAGAAACACTGCTTCTGTATTACTGTAGGGAGATAATAACCTAAAGCATTTTGAGTCTGAGGCATTAGTCAAATCTCCAGTCTTCTGATACTGAACTGGCTGAGACAGGAAGGGGAGGACACAAAAAGCAAAGATGAGAGGAAGATGAATGGAAAAACTGAAGAGCAGAGAAGAGATATGAGAGAAAGAAATAACAAGAGACTGAACCCCTTCTAGTGGACACTATCAGTTTGTGTGTGGGAGAGAAACTCCCTCTAGAGGATATTTCGGGCATAATAGGGCCTCTTAAAGTACCAAATTCAAAGAAAACTATAGCTGTCACATAAGACAGTTTAATGAAATAACTTTTTTTTCCTTCAATTAGGTGGGACATAAGTATTAATGCATCAACCTGCATTATGAAACCTGTTTCTTTCTGATTTAAGTTTGGCTAATGGCAGCTTAAGTGGCTGGTCTACCTGCATGTGCCATCCGACCTCTGCAGCTCATCCAGAATGCAGCGGCTCGTCTGGTCTTCAACCTTCCAAAATGTTCCCACACCACGCCGCTCCTCTGCTCCCTTCACTGGCTTCCAGTAACTGCTAGAATCCACTTCAAGACACTGGTACTTGCGTACCATGCTGCGAATGGATCTGGCCCTTCCTACATCCAGGACATGGTTAAACCGTACACCCCAGCACGTGCACTCCGCTCTGCATCGGCCAAACGGCTCGCTGCACCTGCACTGCGAGGGGGACCCAAGTTCCCATCAGCAAAAACACGTGGGTTTGCTATCCTGGCTCCAAAATGGTGGAATGAGCTCCCCATTGAAATCAGGACAGCAGAACGCCTAAACATCTTCCGGCGCAGACTGAAAACTCCAAACTATCTGATGGAATGACAGGGTCAGAACAAAAGTAAAGCATCAAACATTTGATGTTGTAATGAATGCAATAATCTTATCCTGCAAATGTGGGACAAGACAACAACAGTTTGGGGACCGTCTGTTTAAGAGAAAAAGTATTTATAAGCACTCTGGCACTGGGTAACCACCGCCTTCGGCTGTGTGCTGCACTGTGTGATCCTGCAAAGAGCCTAAGTCACTGAAACGCTCCCCACACCAAACACATTTAAACTGCCCTTCTCTGGAGTGTGTGCTTGTGTGTTTGGTCAAGTGCTCGCGTTGTTTGAAGCCCTTGGTGCAGTGACCACATTTGTACGGTTTCTCTCCTGTATGCACGCGCCGGTGTCTGTTCAGGTCCGAGGAGTATTTAAAACGTTTCTCGCATTCAGGGCACTTCAGCGGCTTTTCTCGGGACGGGTCGCATCGATGCTGGACAAATTCTGAAGATGACAGGAATCGGCGGTCACAGAGGGAGCACTTTAGAGGCTTCTCCTGGCAGTGAGAGTTTTGATGCCGCTGTAACGTAGAACTCTTCTTGTACCCTTTACCGCAAACGTCGCACTTGTACGGCTTGTCTGGCGAGGTGTTGGACGACTCGCCACACTTGTGTCTAAGCAGCTCTCCAGACTGGCTGAACTCTTTCTGGCATGAGGCGCACTTAAACAGGTTGTCCATGCCGTGGACGTGCTGGTGGTAGAGGAGGTGCGAGGGCTGCATGAAGCCCTTGTCACACAGGTTGCATTTGAACGGGCGGTCCGTAGGGTCTTTGTGCGTTCGTCTGTGGCGCACCAGTGCGTACTGCTGCTTGAAGCTCATCTGGCACTCGTCACAGTGGAAGGGACGCTCCTCCGAGTGTGTGCGTTCGTGCTGCCGGAGGTCAGACGGACGCTTGAAACCTTTACCGCACGTGGCGCAGCGGAACGGCCGGGAACCCTGCGGATGGCAGGGGTGGTGGAGAAGCTCCGACGACTCTTTGAAGTGTAGCTCGCATAAGTTGCATTTGAATAAGTGCTCGCCCGAATGCACGTACATGTGACGCACGAGGTGGGAGCGGTGCTTGAAACTCTTCTCGCAAACGGCGCACTTGAACGGCCGTTCGCTGCTGTGTGTCCGCTGGTGGTGCTGGAGATGGGACGACTGGCTGAAGGCCTTGTCGCATGTGTCACATTTGAAGGGTTTTTCGCCCGTGTGCACCCTCTCGTGCCGCGTTAGTTCTGACATGTGTTTGAAGCCCTTCTGGCAAACGGAGCATTTGTACGGCCGGTCTCGCGCCGAGGGAAACGGTAAAATGGATGAGCTGCTGCTTGCCGACGCCCCGTCGCTGCTGGGCTGCTGGGGAGTATTTGAGGTGGGCGTGGTGTTGCCAGAAGAACCGGGTCGGTAGGTTTTCTCGCATATTGAACACTTCATTGGGTTGGTGCTGTTGTGGGACGTATGGTGCTGCGCTAAAGAGGTGAGTAGAGAGAAGCCCATCTTACAAACTCCACACACAAACGGCTTCTGCTCCACCTGAACACACTGGTGCTCTAGCAAGTCTGTCGCCTGGTGGAAAATCTTCAAGCACTGAGTGCACTGGAATGACCTGTCCTGATTCACCATGCACTGGTGCTCGTGTGGGTTGGCCAGGTGAGAGATATCATGTCCACAGGCCCCGCACTTGTGTCCTGCTTCCGCTGCTACCTGCAGGGTGCTCTGCTGGGCCTGGGCGGGGTGCTGCTGCTGCTGACTGAGCTGCCCCCCTCCATGCTGCTGACTGTTGTGTTGTTGGCTGTGTTGGCTGTGCTGTCCATGCTGGGTCTGCTGCGGCTGCTGTAAAGACGTAGCATCCTGCTGTAGTACGATGCCATACACTGCACAGCCCAATGCGTTCTCAGCAGATGGAGGTATGGTGTGGACGACTGGAGGTGGAGCGACTGCATGCTGCTGCCAGGCCTCGGGCATGCGGGCTCGGGAGTAGGGATTCAGTTTGGCAGCCGGTGCGGCCCAACTGTGGTAAGAAATGGAGATTGAAACATATTTAAATAATTAGCTGAGACTTTAGAGTGTTTTGAAAAAATTGGAAAAAAAACTCACTCCATTTCAGCAAGTGGAACTGTCCAGAGGAGTGGAGATCTGACTTGTGTGGAGGGATGGAAGTAATTCCCCTACTTTGACTCCATTTGTGGCATTTAACTGGTAACTGTATGAACAAAATAATTAAGGTGAGACAGAACATCAATGTGCAATCAAAGGATTGTAAAGATGTAAAATGATGTTGTATTTACAACATCCACTGATCAAACTGCCAGTATACCATGGTCAAAATGAATATGTATATATATATTGTTGTAGCAGAATGCTTTCAAAATTGTTGTTCAAGATTGCAAATGTAATTTTCTACATCAGTTTTGATGATTTTTCTTGATAAACTCTGCAGGATTAAACGTTCACAATTATTAATAATTACTTACTATAAGTACTGTGATCTGTGTTACAATAGTAGGTAACTGTTGGGTCAAGACTATGCAGGCAGCAAGACAAATAACACAGAAGATTATTCCTATCTAGTTTACTAGTAGCAACTATAGAAGAGGTAAACTGTTGAAAGCCTGTTTGCATCAGTCATAATGAATCACCCACAAGACATGTATTGTGAAAAACATCCTTACAATTACATGTAGGGCCTACTGCATTTGACATTGCTGTAATCACCCCATTTCAGAAAAATGTATTTCAAACAACTTGAGATGTGCACCGTGAACGCAGAATTGCACAGCATTGAACCATTCATTAACATACACACTTTAACGCTTAGTCGTACATGTACATGATTATTAAACCTGTTATTTTTACAAACGATTAAGTAGAAATCCAAATGCTCAACGACTCGCGGGTAAAAAAAAGAAGTGTTACATTTGCCTGTTCGTCTCCAGGCAAAGATCAGTAGGCTAACCAGCTAGCCTAGCCACATGCTAACTCAGCCACAGAGGCGCAGGGAAGAGCTAACGTTAACGGACTAGCCTTAGGAAAATAACAGTCCAGTAGCTACTGCTGCAGAGACACCTTAGCTAGTGTGTGGTGCATGTAAACAGCCATGATCAATACAGCATTTACATACCTGTGGAGTCCAGTCAAGCCTGCAAAAATATCCCCGATAAAATGACAGTCTGCAGTATGTTAGCTAGCGTTGCTCCCCCAAATAACATTAGGTCCCTTCTTCACATCCGCAAACGGTGCTTGGAAGCTCTCCTGTTAGAGCACTGTGCTCCGGGGGCCGGAAAAAATGTTATTTGCGGGTCATACACATTTGTAAAATTCTCCCACGGTTTACCAATTTGCCAGATAAACGGTCTCGTTATACGTATACATTTATTCCACTCCTAAGGCATTCTCTCAGCAATCGAAAACACATGCATTTTGTTATAAATGGCTAGCTAGCTATCAGCTAGCTTCTGAGCCCCTGTCCGCACACGGGAACATGAATAAACAAATAGTTCATTGGCATGCTCACACACGCACACGCACACACACACACGCACACGGAACCTGGTTTTCGTGGCTTTTACTTCTGTAAACGTTTCCCCATTCAACACATTTATTCGCAAATAAAGAATGAAATATGAAAGTGAATGTTTATAAGACAACACTTTAAAATAGGGTATTTCTTATTTTTCTTCTTCTTCGGTTCACCTCTTTTAAATGTTGTGAGGGCTAACATGCATTTTGACAGATTTCTCCATTTCATTATGCATATCGTTTCAAACCTCTGAAAGGGGAACTAATTTGATCCAGGGCTGCGTTTCACTGGGAACAAAATTAGTGTTACAAAAGGTTATTTACACCGGAAGCGCAGGACTGCGTTGACAACTTGCCGACTGGTTGTCATTTGCCGCTAAAAATACGTTTTGTAGCCCAGTCAACGTGCTTATCTGGCCTACATTTTAACTTGAAATATGTATGTGAATTAATATCTGTCTCTCAGCAAATGTACATGTGTATTTAAGTTTCGCTATGCTCGGACACAATACACATGACAGGATGTTGGTTTGCTACAGCAGCAGCTCGGAGGAGGAAAGTGAGGACGCAGTACCGACTGATGAAAACAACAGTTTTTCTAGAAAGTGTCAAGAGGAAGAGGATGGTAACAACGGTGGCCCAGCGAGGAAGAAACACAAAATTGAGCAACAGGCTCCTAAATCAAGGTGTGTATTTGTCAATGTGTCGGTCTGCAGAAGTGAAATAACTTATCATATATTTAATTGAGTAAAACTAGCAGTGCTATAGTGTAAAAAAGTTAGTACAAATGGAAGTCTTTCATTCAAAATGCTACTCAGGTAAAAGCACAAAGGTATTAGCATATGCTTAACGTAGCAAAAGTTATAGCACTCATTATGTAGTGTATCGCCCATTTCAGAACCATATCTATTTTATATAAATTGTTGTATTATAAATATTGATGCAGTTTAATTGAGTATATTTAAGCAATAGCTCACGACAGGTCGTGGTATATGCTCATTATATCACAGCCTGAAGTGAGCTATTGCTTTTATAAAACGGTTACCAAGTGTGGCAATATGAAAGAAAAATACACACTCTAATTTAAATAGTTTTTATTAGTAAATAATGATGTTCAAAATAAAATAGTCCCTCCGTTGCCTTCTGCACGAAACCTAGTGGTGGTTGCTATGCAACAACACTAACAGCTAGCGAACATATTAGACAGAGAGCGTTGATCCATTATTCGGCTATTTATTAACATTCATTTTTCTATGTTGCCGTTTATTGGGCTCGTAACGTGCAGGCGGCCTCCTCACGCGGCCCGGCCGAGTCGGCTGGGGCAGCGTCGGCAGCGCCGGCGGCGACTGCGGCACCGGGAGCGGCGCGCCCAGAAAGGCACCCGTAGGAACAGTGAGGTCAGAGGACGCCTCATCAGCAGGCGTCGGTGGGGAAGCGCCAATAGCCGAGTCGCGGG